CGAATCGGTCTCTCTTCGGGTAGTTGTCGTGGCTGCTGGTCATTCTGTCTGTTACTGGACTCTGGAGTGTTTCTTCTCTGGTCCCCCTGCCGGTCTGTTTGCTGATCTTCTTGGTTCCTTTCTTCTCTTTGTATAAAATTTTTTAGATATCCATGACGGATGAGCTCTTCAATCTCATCGCGGAGGTTCCTACAATTCTCTGTACTGTGTCCGTGGTCTTTGCGGAAGTGACAGTAAACATTCCTGTTCCTGGTGGCGGGATCTCCCCTCAACCGAGCTCGTCCTTTCAACAGGCGAAGTTCTGGAACACCAACGTGACTTGTGAGATCGTGAATGAGATCGACTCCCAGACTTGTTTCCTCCCCTGGTTGGGGACTTACTCTTTCTTCTCTTATTCTCGTCATTACCTGTGTTGTCACCTTCTCTTTTTCTCTTTTCTACTAGATTATCAATCCTCTGATTCATTTCTTCCTCGGTCCTGATGAACTGATCGGCAAGCTTGAGGAATTCTATGATGTCTTTCAGCTTATTGGCCACCACATGCCATTTGAGATCCCTATGAGTTATGCCCTTCTTTGCCGCCGTGAGCCTCACCGCTTGGTCGAGGTCGGGGATCTGCAGGCAGGTATCATTGAAGCGCCTGATGTAGCTTCTAATGGACTCCCCTTCTCTTTGAACTACATTGAGGAGGATTTCTTGGGACCTCGGGCACTTCTTGCTAGTGMTGAAGTGAGAGGTGAACAACTCCACGAACTGTGCCCAACTCTTGATTGTTCTTGGCGCGAGGTTCTGGTACCATGTGCGAGCTACTCCTTTAAATGTGGTGGAGAAAGCTACGCACATGTTGTTAGACAGTTTTGTATGCCCTTAGCTTCAATCAGAATGATGTACTTTATGAGTTTATTGTAAATGAATAAAAGTGCATATTTGATTCATGATCCATTGGTCTGTTTCTGTGTAATACCCTTAAATCGGACACTTAATGAGACCCGTGTTAGTTTAGAATGTTCACAGCCAGTGGGTCGGTCTG